CCAACACAGAGCCGCCTGTAGACAACCATAGGCTCATTCATAGAAATGGCAGGTAATGTTTCCTCTTGGTTTAGACGAACTCACGGTATTCCCAAGTGCCTGTCACTGGTCATTTCCTCTATCCTAGCAGTGATGGCTACTCCACATGATCTCTTTGAAGCTATACGCTATCCACCACTGTTTCCGGCCTGCACATGATACACATTGTGCTTTTGTACATTAAAGTACTACATTTTAAGACAATGTTTTTTTGAGCTAAGTCAGGTTAGTGGCTGTTTGTTACGATATAAGCATGCAGCAACAAATAATTACCATTTAACAGAGATAACAACCAAATATATAAATGTGTACATCATTCTACATGCTCACTGCCACAGGATGATTTACTGCCTGATGTTCCAGTAATCCCACAGGAGGAAGTCTGTCAGTGGGACAGATATGTGGGAAAGTCGGCCTGTCTAAGCGCAGGATGACGTGATGTAGAGTCAGGGAGGCTTCGAGATCACTAACTGACCCTTAATCAAGAATGGCTTCTTTGAACGTGAATATGTCGGTTCCTATCATTGATATTTTGTTGAGTAATCAGCAATAAAACTATTTTATAGTGCTAAGTGTAATGCATCCCATGTGTTTTCCATGACTTTAACAATTAGAAAAGCTTAAAAAGGTGAACTGAGTTTAGGTGAGTTGATTTGAGCTGGAAATCAACAAAACAAAGAAATATGATTTGAGGTCTGTGAAGAGGTCCATCAGTTTCAATTATTTTAAACGTGTGCAATGCTCTCAGGAGATAGAATGTAACTAAGTACAATTGAAGATCTGTACTCAGAACGGTATTCCCTTACAGTTATATTAAAAAACGGACGTCATCAGATTACCGTTACATGTCTAAAAATAGGCTACATTTATTTTATGTTTGAATCCTCAGATTAGGTTACTGATTATTTATTTTGTACAGGTATCAAGAAATTGTAACCAATTATATTTCCAAGTAACCCTCCCAACCCTGACTTTAAATCAAACACTGACATGCTGCAGCTTTGTGTGTATGTGTAGCATGTGCGCCCCCTTGTGGTAAAACTGTGTTAATCTACGCACCAATGAGCTGTAGTAGTTTGTCACTTTACACTTTACAAACTTGATTAACATCACACGTCTTTGCATAGAGGGCACCTTAAAACCTTTAATAAAAGAAAACTAAATACAAATATGGAACACATTTCTGGTAGTACAAAGAGTTCACTAACACACAAGTTACGATCCACACAACGTAGCAGAGAGAACAACAAGCAGATTGATGCCATTGCTACAGATGAAAGCATTTCATCTTAATCTCAACACAGGCCATAAACAGAGAAATAGATATGTAAAGAAAAGCTTTAAGTCAGACTGAAATACATACATCACATTGACATATTGTTAATTCTGTTGCAATAACAGTGAGGCAGTGTGGCATTTCCAATGAGTCAATATCGCTGATACAGCATAACAACCACTCAGATGGGACACGGTTCCCCGGCTGGAGTCTGAAGATTCAATAAATAAAAGAATACAATCTATATAATAATCAGATATGTTACATTTCACAGCAGCACAAATCTCAAAAATCAGCACAATCAATGTTAGTCCCAAAATGATATCACAATTCTAGTATGCTCTATATATTGATCATAAAAATAATTTAAATCTGTTCTTTTTTCTACTGAAACATCTCATGCACTGGGAGCTTCAGGTTTGAAGGCATGCTGAATGTGTTTGGATGAATATGCTATGAGAATCATCTGTGAAAATCACTACATTCTTAGTCACTTCATCACATCAATGGGTTCAGATAAAGGGGGAGGTTCACACATGACAATAATAAAAAAATACAAATGAAAAATACACTGAACAAAATTAAAGTGTCACATTTTGGTAAGTTTAAACTCACAGGACAGCACAGGGAACATAATAAAGGTACAGGCACTTGTTTTCTGTAATAGGTAGGTCAGTTTGAATCTGTCCAGAGAGCCAAAAATAGGAAAATATTACAATAATATCAACCGTTTCTTCTTTTTGATAGATCAGCTCTGCTTCCATCTTGAAGTCTCTACATGTTTGAGTTTAATGAATAGCCACAGGAAACACCCACATGGAAATATAAGTCAGTGTCTTCACAGAAGCTTCAACATCCTTTCTGCGGTTAGTAATAGTACACACAGCTTAACCAGAAGCAGCTAGGGCGGCAAGAGACCCACAAATGCTTCCAACTTAAAAAGCTACAGACCAGAATCAAATCTGCCATTTTAAAGTAAAGTTTTACATACATTTATTTTAAATTAGTTAAATGATTGTATTCATTCTAACAGTATTTTTGGAGAGTTCAAAATATCTGTGTATCAATATAGCACTGAAACAGCATTAGTTCAGATTTTAAATGATTGGCAAATCAAGCCCTCGGTTTAGCACTGCTCAACTTAAGCGCTGCTTTTGATACTGTACTATATATATATATATATTTAAGAAGATGACAATATTGTTTTTTTTTATTGGCCTAAGTCATAGATGGCCATCTTAGAGGCATAAAATGAAATGTGGTGTTGCCCAAGGCTCAATTGTAGGTCCTTCACTTTATTAATCTATACAAACTTCCACTTGGAAATGTCATCAGGAGACACGGCATACGTTTCTGTAGTTTTGCTGATGACACACAGCTCTACATTTCTGTTTCTCCAGATAACTCAGTACCAATAATGTCCTTTTGAACTGTACTTTAGATATTAAAGGTCCCCTATTATACTGTTTTTCATCAATATATTATAGGTCTCAGATATATACAAACATGTCTCTGAAGTGTTTGTCTGAAACACCAAACAGATCATTGCAGCATCCCATAATCCCCTCTGTTTCAGCCCTGTTTCCAAAGTGCTGATTCTCTGTCTGTTACTTTAGATGAACATAAGGAGCCCCTCCCCACGCCCCTCTGAGAGAGATTTGGTTAAAAAGAACACAATGGTGCTCTAGGAGGAGATTCAGGTGATAAGGTGTGTGGGGGGGGGGGGGGGGGGGGGGGGGGGGAGGTTACCTTGGTTGGTTATTGGCTAATGGTTACACAAGCCAAAAAATCGTTATGACATCATAAAGTGGCCAATATCTGATCAGCTCATTTTCAGACAGGTTTTTATATAAATGGATAATAATCTTTTTTCCTGAAAGTTTCAGAATCTCTTTACACTGATGGGACACATGTGTATGTATAAAAGTGAAAAGGTGGATTTTTCATAATAGGTGACCTTTAAGCTATGTATGGCTGACTATTTTCTTGAGCTCAATCAGGACAAAACTTGTTTGGTTTGTGAAGCATTTTGTGTTAACGTATCACCTCGCCACACAGCATTTGAGCAGCAGTGCTCAGTGTTTGAGCGCAGAACTGTTTGGGGAACTTCATTAGGCAACACAAATGAATCCTCTATGAAGACACATTTCTATACATCTCATGTAGGTACATACATTGCACACATCACTGCAAAGGTATCTCCAATACTTCATTTTGCCCATTTCAATATTTCAATATGTCCATGTTATTAAATATGCTAATCTGCTACAATTAAAATAAGAACATCCTTAAAATTGTCAAAGAAAGTGTCTTGTATATATTTTTTGAATTAATCAGCTAAACTAACATTGCTCAGCACACACACACACACACACACACACACACACACACACACACACACACACACACACTCTTGGCTCTTTATTCTACATACTGTCATTGATATAAGGCTCAATCTGAAAATATTGGTGTTGTGTCAAACTATAACAACAACACAAACTAACATATAACACTCCACATGAAAATTAGGTAACAAAAGCTGTTTGAACAATTTTTTTGTCTGATGAACCCACTGTACAAACGTACCTGCAGACAGATCAGATCAGAGACCTGCTGCAGAACATCTTACAAGCTCAAGAGCCATAAATGTCCCTCAGACGTGGCTGGCACTTAAAGCAGAGAATATTCAGGTGTTTAACCATCAGTTGCCAGAGACAGGAATTACTAATGCTACTCTGTATACAGTAGAGGGATGCAGAGATTTCCTATTTGTGAAGGCCGATCCGGAAGTTGGCATCGCAAGGGGTTCCTCGACTAACTGCAATGGGAGTTTTTGAATGGATTTTCAAATATTGCAGAAAATAAGATATTTGGCACACAAGTTTATGATACTAACAATTTAGTTCAGCAGGATCATCTCCACATAATAAAACCACTTTAATGATTTCTGAAGTGTATGCATTTGCCAGTAGTAAAATGGTAACGTTAGGCTATAAACGACCTACATGACTTGCGCATGGTTTTGCGTAATCACCGCTAAGCTAAAGGTGGCTAATGTTCGGCATGCTGACATTTAGTAGTGTCATTTAGACACTTGTTAGTAACTGCTGTTTTTATTACACATAGCTTCAGACACCAGTGTGGTATTTACTGACGTATGTATATCGTGGTACAAAACCTGAGAAAAACTTGTATTAACCCCAGGCGTTAGAAAAAAACAGAAGTGGTAAAATGCTTACTCATTCCTGCACCACACTACTGCATGTGAGAAGAGCATAGACTTTGCTAGCACATTAGCAAATTCAACTTCTAAAGGCCATATGTCGTGTCCTTTTAGCTTGTTGGGGCCAACAAAAACGTATTGGGATGGAATAGTTATTGAAGTGATGCTAGCTACTGGTTAAATCCTAACTATTTTGGAACAAAATTAGCAGCAATTATTGTTTGGACCTTATTTACTAGCAGCAGGAAACAACGTTTAAACGTGAATGGACAGCTTCTACAGTATCAGCTCATAAACATGAACACCTGTCCCCAGGCAGATATTGGCACACACTATACTGAGTTCACTTCTCCAGTCACTTTGGTAAGTAATCAATGTTTTAGATAAACAACAACGTATGAAGACCCACTGGTCAAAGTAAGGTCAGCTTCTTGTTGGGGTCTTGTATATTCCCTCCAACAATCCGTACTTTAACCAAAAAATAAGACGGTTCTCAAAGACAGATGGCAGTTACTGGGGAAATTAAAGTGGCGAGGAGCAACAGAATGGCCCCAGTCCTTTACCTAGAGCCCAGTGAGGTCGACGATGGCCTTGATGAAGATGGTGTCGTCACGTATGTAGGAGTTCTTGGAGTCCAGCTTGGAGAGTGGGCAGAAGAGCGGGCAGCCGCTGGCGATGTTCATACCGCTGACGGGCCTCTGGAAGGACGAGGAGGAGACGTCGGGCCGGAAGGCATCGATGATGTGCTCCCTGCTGTTCTGGTCCAGCAGCATGAGGGTGACCTGGACACATTGGGGATTTTCTGGATTTTAACATCATTTAAAAACAAAGGTAATCAAAAAAGTAGCTTAAATCTGTCGAGTTTGAAGCTGGAGTCAGGACGTGTTTAGCCTAGCTTAGCATAAAGACTGACAGATAGCTAACCACTAGCCAAAGTTAAACATAATGGAGCTCCCTCAATAACATATGCCTTGTTTTAAAAGAAAAAGCAATAAATACACATATATATATATATATATATATATATATATATATATATATATATATATATACATACAGTATCTATATAGTGTGATAGTATAAAGAGTTTGTGATACGTTTCTTCTTTTTTTCACATAGCTTATTCGGTTCCTATAGTTTTCAGTCTACTTTGTAAGACATCTAATAAGCATACCTAAATTAAGTTCTAGTGGACACTTAATTGAACAATAGTATTCTGTAAATGAACACAAACAGTATCCAATTTCATTATGAGTGAGCTTTAGAGCAATCGACGCAGCTTCCTGCTACAGAGCCATAGTAAGCGTTGGCAATGTGTCAGGAGCAAATTGGGGTTCAGCATCTTGCCAAAGGAAATGGTAAATAATGACTTTATATACTGTTGGGTATTTTTCATCTAAAGTAAGACATCAATTATTAGTTGATTATGTTTTCAATTATGAATCTCAATCTGTAAATGAACTAAAGTCATCCTGTGGTTGAAGCAGAAATTACTCTGGATATATGAACTTATATATTCATAAGTGCCTGGTGGTATTATGTTTATAAGGCTAATGACTGGGAGGGGGGTGTTGGTATTTTGTTTTTGTGATGCACTTTATGTTACCTTTAATTTATGAAAATTGCTATATTGATCAAGTTTGATGGATTGATTCATTATTTTTGTCAAGTAAAAAACAGTTTTCACCTTCTGGTTGAAAGGCCACTTGAGGAGTGGGTCACTGTTTCCTCTCATCACCACGAAGAAGAGTGAGAGGTGCGTCCCCCGACCCGTCCCGTCGCCGTTCAGGTAGATCCGCAGGCGCATCTTGTAGCCGTATTTACTGGTATAAAAAGCTGGAAAACATAATGATGGTCATTGATGATGGCCAGTGGTCTTCAGCCAGTGTAGCTTTTACAATTCTCTCCACTTTATTTGCCTTTTCACTGCCATGGAATTCATGGTAAACATATGCACTGGTATTACGGAGCAACTTTGGGTCAAACTTGGTCATGTGAATCATTTTTTTTTGTTAATAAAATGTTTCTTTAATGCGTTAAGGTTTCCAGATGAATTGAGAGTGTTAACGCGTTAATGTTGACATCAGGCTTGGGGAGTAATGGATTACATGTAACAGGATACAAAAAAAGGAACGATTTTCATTTCCCTGCTCCTTTCCATCATGGGCTACCAAAAAATGTGTATAGTGTTTTATAATAATTGCCATGAGTGGAATAAACTAATACATAAATAACTGTATTCCATTACAGTTACTTAAAAAATATGTAATCAGATTACTATTACATTCCTTAAATTGGGGATTAATAGCAGGATGACATTGTTAGTAAAACCTAAAAAGATCATAATGTTTGTTGTAAAGGATCAGAAGTGATCTCTTCTCTTAGAGCTGTACTGTTCTGTAGGCTAATACTTTAAGTGTGAATCTAATCTATACGCCTACTGCCTGAATCTGCTTTATGGTTTTCACTTTCTTTGCTTCATTTGTTCTGTTTTTAATTCAGTAGTTGAACCTATATGTGAATAAAATAGTGTGTGTGAGCTTAACTGTGTGTATTAAACTAAAACGGAGCATTTTCTGTCAGCTCAGATTTTATTTCTACTTTTTTAAACTGTAATATGTGCTCATGTGTTTCAGTGTTGGTGTGTAGGCTACTGCCTGAATATGCTCAGCTAGTAGAGGACACATTCTTGATAATAAATTCAGTAAATGTCTTGGTTCCTTCTTTTCTAAGGTAATGTTGTTCCGTTGTCTTACACAATACACTTAGGTAAAAAAAATCGTATTGATAACAATTTTTTGTTATATTTCTTTTCATTGTATTTTATATTGAGGTAATCCAAAAGTCACTGAAGTAGTCCGATTACATTTCTTATTTTGTCAATCAGATTACATGATTACATTTGTTTTTATTTAACGAGTAACTGTAATGGAATACATTTTTAAAGTGACCCTGGTTGAAAGTGGAAGCCCTGAAAGTGGAAGCCCTGAAAGAGACCGATGGCCCCTCACTGTGTGGGTCAGAGCTCAGCGGTTACCGGGGGAGAACATGGCGGGGGCGCGGCCGCCCACGGCGTCCTGCCTCTTCTTGGTGAAGTCGGAGATCTTCCACACAAAGATGCTGTCGTATGTGGCCGCAGACATCTCCCTCATCTTCCCCTCCATCTCCACGATGGACAGGTCCCACAGACTCACCGTCCTCTCCAGCTGACGGACCTGCAGCACAGGAACACATCTGTCTGTGAGTCTTTACTGAGATACGCTCCCACACTGAACCAACTGAGATGTTGACTTTAATTAAATGTATTATGTCAACAGATTAATATTAAGTTGAACCTAATAAAAAATGTTATATTATTGCTTTCAACTAACCTAATACAGTTATGTGAAATCTGTTGAAATAATACATTTAATTAAAGTCAACGTTTCAGTTTTTTCAGTGCTAGAGTATAATGTCTAAAAACAGCTGATTAAGCTTTTGGTTATTATTCTATGCTGAATGTATACAATATGTCTGTATAGAATTGTATTGCAATCACTCATTGTACTTAGTACCAAAATTGAGGTCCATTACTTGAGTATTTTATTTTCATGCCTCATACTTCATTACTAAATATTGTACCTTTTACTTTACTACAATTATTTTACAGCTTTAGTTTATAATTAACGTTTATTTAAAATGTAGGTTTTTGCATTAAAAAAAGTTTAAATATATATATATTTTTTATATTATATTTTTTTCTTGTTTTTCCTTCATATTTTATTATATTTGATATACTATGTTGATACAGCTGAAGGAAAAATGAAAAGACATTAGGTAAAATTGTTGATATGTTAAGTTGCTGAAACTGAAATAAAAACTAAGATAACACAATTTGTGACATTTAGTTTAAAGGGCCCATGTCATGGCCATTTCCACTGATCATAATTCCATTGTTGAGGTCTACTAGAATAGATTTATATTGTGCAATTTTCCAAACTCACATTGGTTTCTCATACAGCATCTCTGTAAACTACGTGTATTCACTGAATTTCACTCTCTGCCTTCAACGGCTCGTTGTAGCTCCAAAAGCTCCAGCCCCCACCCTCCCTGTGAGCACAGTGTGCTCTGATTGGTCGGGACGTTGTGAATCGCGCTGAGCTCCGTGGAGGTGTTGTTTCCTTGTTAGCGATACACAGCCAAACTCATCCTGAGCACACACAAAGTCACAGCCGAAGTAAAAACAATAAGTGTGGCTTGATATTGAGTAAGAAAAAGGTTGATAAACGCTGTGAGAATGGGTCTGCAGAGAGAATTTTGCCGCGATCCCAACTGTCTGTTATCAGCCTGCAGCCAGGGAGGAGAAATCAGCTGAGCTGCCTGCTCCCTGCACACAGATGTGTGTGTGAGGAAGTCCGTGGATTGGTCAATTTGGACCAATCAGCGGGGGCTTAACGTAACGGCTCCGCGGACGTAACGTAACGGCTCCACGGATTGGTCCATTTCGTTCCGGGTACGGCTTGACATCATGCCGTACCCGGAACTAAATGGAAGAATCAAATGGACAATGACGTATCTCCAACGACGCGTTTTGGGGAGGTATTTTCTGTGTTAGAGTTTTACTCGCTACAGGGTGTACTTTGAGGGTTTGTGACTCTGCACACCGTTTACATGCATAAAAACCTTCATAACACACAAGGGGACGGGTAATAACCGGAAAAGCATGACATGGGCCCTTTAATATAAATAGCCAACAGGTGGGTTTTTAGTTGGGATTTAAAGATCTCCTATCATTCTATTTTTAGGCATATATTATGGCTCTCAGATATATACAAATATATAAAAAACATGTCTATGATGTGTTATGCTCAAAATACCAAACAGATCATGCATTTTAAACATCCCTCTATTTCAGCCCTGTTAGAGAAGTGCTGATTCTCTGCTGGCCCCGCCCCCTTTTGAGCACCAGGCACACTGTGAGTTCTGTGACGAGCAGGCTGTCTGCTCTGCTCAGATGCAGCTAAATGCTGCCGGGATTAAACGCCATATCATGTTCCAAACCACTTCAAGGATTATTTATGAAACAGTATGGAGCTCAAATGCTTTTTCTCTTGCGGGTTTACCACAAGGTGAGTTTTTTATTTCCTGCTTTTTTACACATACTCTCTCCAGTACAGCGTTAGCGATGCTTGCTAATGTAAACAAAGACCATATTTCGTCAGAAACACGTCGTGCATTGTTTCTGATAGCGAAATTTCTGATAGGGCCGTGGGTGTAAAGCCAGCCCACATTTCCGATATTACGTCATATCGAACACAAATCTGGATCAGCTCCGTTGTACCCCCGTTTTTAGACATTTGGGTACGGAGGAAAAGAGAGAGGGTTTTGTTTTCTAACACTTTGTGAGTTCCCTTACACACCGGGGACACATACTTATGTACAAAAGACATCAAAAGTGCATTTTGCATGATAGGACACCTTGAAATGTGGGCCATTGCAGTTGGATGAGGATGGGGGTGATGTTATCAGTGGATTTGAAGAAAAAGCATGATGATTAGAACAAGCCGACCTTTCAAATGGATTTCAGTTCTGCTGCCATGACAACCTTATATCCCTCCTGGATCATTAGCTTGATGCTAGCTGCAGTGCAGAGGTCACCTTGTTGTTGAGGATCTCGATCTTGTCCTGGTCCAGTCTGTGCTGGCGGTTGTAGGCCTCCACGATGGTGCAGGAGCGCTCCATCTCTCGGTTGAGGACGCTCACGATGTTCTCGAACGTGCTGACTTTGAGCACCAGCTCCTGGCAGCGGCGGGTCAGCTCCACCACCTTGGCCTTCTTGCTCTGCAGCTGCAGCTGCAGCTCCAGAGCAGCCTCCACGCCGCTGGGCAGTGGGGTAAAGGAGGGGGCCAGGGTGGGGGCGCAGGCACCCTGCACGGAGACCGCCAACCCCCCTCCCCCCACCAGCTGGCTCATCTGGAGCTCCAGCTCCCAGAGGGACTGGTGCAGCTCCTGCAGCTTGTGGTTGGCGGCCTCCAGGCTCTGGGGCTGCAGGCTCTCCAGGCTCACCTTGATGCCCATGATGAAATGCAGGAGCATGTTGAGGTGTTCGTACGAGCACTGCCTCTCGTGGTCATGGATCTTCTCTTTCTCCACCTCCATTCAAAGAAAGACACAAGCAGAACAACCTTCAGAGCACAGAATACAGGCCTAATCTATTACACATAAACAAATGGCATTTTAATTATGCTGTGTTAAATTGTACCATAGAAGAAGAAAATACATGTTGATGAAAATACAAAATAGTTTTGTCAATTAAGATTTTTGTTCATTTTAGTGAAAGCTCAATGGACTGTATTTGCACAACTCTTTCTAGTCTCTACGATCAAGGACTTTTAGAGCAAAAGTAAGCATTCACACACACACATTCACACACCATTTGCCACCTGCTCAGGAGAGATTTACACTATCACACTTTTTTGGATTGCCATCAAATGCAATTCGTGGTTCAGTATTTTCATTAAAGATTGAAGAAAAGAAAGCGGCGCTTACTACATTTACATTTTAGTTTTCAGATGATTTTGCTGAAATATCTACAAACTAAATGTTTTCACTTTTACTGTTCCACAGTTTAAAAAAGGCTTAAACAGTCATATTGTGTGCTATTCGAAAAAAGTAACATGCAAAGGGAAAGATTGTTGAATTTTGGAGTTATTACATGATCCAGTAGTTGTTATATAAGCCATTTAACACACATAGCAAATTATGATGAAAATGTCTACTTACAGACGTATCGCAGCCAACAACATGGAATCGGCATGGTGCTTTAAATTTACTGCAGAATTTAATATGGTCCACATACTGCAAAACAAAAATGAAGGAAGCTTATGATCTATAGAAAGGGTTGCAGAATAAATGGTAAATGAGACCAATCCAACAAAATCAAAATAAATGACTTGAACAGAATACGTGGGGTACCTTTCCTCTGGGGATCTTTTTCTTTGCACAGCCTTCACAGATCAGCGGGTACTTTGGACAGATCTCATCATGAGCCTAAAACAGTATGCATTGTGAGTTCACAATCAGAGAGATAGCTCATCCAGGTGCAGTAAGACCTCATTACAAGAATTGACTAAATATATGTTTATGTATACATTTTTACATATTATTTCAGTAACAACGATTTTAAATCAGCATCTCTCTGACACTTTTTTATTTATAATTATGATACAAATATTTTTGTAAATCTCTTTTATCTGATGTTTATGAGCTGTTTGGTACCTGTAAATGAACACATCTACACTTTTTATCAACTAGACAAGAGTTTATGAACCCAGAATTGTCCAGTGAGTGTTTGCACGGACACTGTTTTATACAGCGTGTTTGATGAGGGACACAAACAGCATTGCACCGGGTCAGGTAGGGCAACAGGTTAAGGGCTGAGGCAGACTTCACGTTGGAGGGTTTATTAACTTGCACTCCCTTGCAAACTAGTTGGTTTAGAGCGGCGCTTAATGTGACGGACCCTCCATGCGAATGCTCAAACGAAGTGGAAGTGGTTAGGGTGTAGGAGTCAGTTGGGAATTTGGCTCTAACCAGCTGCCCTACCTGACCATGTTCAACGATTAATCACATTATATAATTTATTATATAATTATAAGATCATTGACGGTTGGTGTTCTTTTTCCTTAATGATCGCCTCACTGAACATTATTCCTCACATATATCTCTCCTTTAATGAAACACTCACAGTGTGATGACAGTCTGACCTTGATGTTCTTTAACAGGAAGGGCTCTTTGCAGTATTTGCAGTTGAGCGTCTTCTCGGGACATTCTCTCTCGTTGTGCCGCTCCTGCTCGTTGGCTCTCATCAGCTCTTTGCAGGAGGGACACAGGATGATCATGAAGTCACAGTTTCCCTCATGGCAGGCCTGGGGGTGAGCACAAAAGAAAACGTACACATGTTGTAGCCACTGCAGGAAACAAACAAAGTCGCTGAGAGGCTGAGGTCGGGCCTGGTTGCACAAGGGATTCAGCAGCTGAGAAGGAGAGTGATGGGCGGAAACAAACTATGTTTTTAGAGAGGAGATATTATGCTCATTTTCAGGTTGTTATTTGTATTTAGTGCCTCTACTGAGACATATGAAATGCTTTAAGGTTCAAAAAGCTCTTAATTTTCCTCATACTGCCTGTGCTGCAGCACCTCTTTTCACCCTCTGTCTGAAACCAGAGCCCAGTCTGCTCTGATTGGTTAGCTGGCCGGCTCTGTTGTGATTGGTCAACCGCTTAGAGATGAGTCGGAAAAGCACAGCCCCTTAGCTTATCACGTATAATGCGTTGGAGCGGTAACCAAAATAAGGGTGAGTGTTACATAGTGTTGTCATTATGTTCTGGAAGTAAACAAAGGAGTCCAATGGAGGTGTTCCAGGCAGGGGGGCATTTTGTGGGAGTGAAACTCCCTCTGGAGGGAAGTTTTTATAAATAGTAATCTGATTACATATGTTTATGTAACTGTAAGGGAATACATTTACCTTTCTTTTTTATCCTGATAACGTTATCCAGCTACATTAAATCATTATTCCCCAAGCCTGTGTATGTAAAGCTTCTTTCAACCAGTTATCAGTGGCAGAAACGTTCTTCATTATGGTGTTTAGAAAGGCCAGAGAAAGTGCGTACAGCAGCCACTCTCAGAATGAGTGTATGGGTGTAATGTCCTCGCCTGCTTTACCTCAAACTCTTTGATAGTTCCCGTCCACGTGCATCCTTCGTTGGGACAGACAGCTGCCAAGGCCTCAACCTCTCTCCGCGCTGCGTTGTCAGGAAAGGCCTGCGTGGAGAAGCAGAGGTTGTTGTTGTTGGTTTGTGTCTTCGGTTACAGTCTGAGCACTCACGTTACAAACACTGTGCATCACTTTCCTGACGAGCTCTCTTTTCTCTCCTGGCTCTACTTCAATTAGCACTCGTTCCGTTTCAGGATACACAACAGTCATTCTTGATTTACTGTCTGAGCTGACAAGAGATGTAAATCAATCACAGATTATGTTAAGGTGGCTCTACACTCCAGCACATGTGTTGTTGCAGTGCTGACTGCAAGGTTCTCACATCCACGAAAATGTTAGCTCTCATCATCAAACCAAAGATACCAATCAAACCAAGACAGCACCTCCAACGACAGACCTGTCATTATGTTAACACTAGAGAACTTAAAGGGCTCATATTATGCTCATTTTCAGATGTAGTGTTAGTGTCTCTACTGGGACTACCGGCTCTGTTGTGATTGGTCAACCGCTTAGAGATGTCCCACCCCTCAACCTATCACGTACAATGTGTTGGAGCACTAGCCAATATAAGCGCAAGTGTTACATAATGATACCTTTATGTTACTGAAGTAATGAAAGGAGTCCAATGGAGGAGTTTATCGGTACAAGATACTTTCAGGTGAATAGAATGGTCCTGAGAATTTCAAAATGGACGTAGCAAAATCACAGGTTCATTTTTATGCAACTCTTTAGATCTTGATCCCGCAAAGTGCATCACTTGCAGAGGTCAATTGAGTGGACCAAATGATGGAAAGGCCACCTGACAAAACACTGCTTTTCCTGTGTATTGGATATCCATGGTATCCATCTTGAGTTACCTTATATTATATTATTTTTACCTTATTTTGTTTCACTTATAGTGACATTTCACATTTCTATATCCCCCCCTTAAAAACACAAGCACACACTCACCTACTACAGATAAATACACACATACACTTTCGTGATCACATTTCCTTACTTTTTATAACATTGAATTGTTGTATTGCTGTTTTTATTATGTGTTCTTCCAACAGTTTGCAATCACTATTGAAAAATGTGGGTGTTCTAGTCAGACGGACGTCACGGAGGCAGTTACTTTGTCACAAACGAGCTGAGGACCAAAATGCAAAACACGGGGAAACCAGGGATAGTCTGTAACCAGCTTTATTGAAGGCAATAACTGGTAGGAGACGAAAAGGCAGGTAGTAGGCAAAGGGCTGGTCGGGGACAGGCGAGGGTTCCAGGAGAAGGCAAGACGGGAGTCGCAGGTACAGACCGGGTCAGGGAGCAGGCATGGCAGAATAGTCCGGGTACAGGCAGGGTCAGGAATCAGGCGAGGCAGGCAGGTCAGGGACAGGCAGGGTCGGAACCGGGAGAGCAATCTGGGAAGTAATGCTGGAAAGACTGGCATGCTGCAAAGTACGATCTGGCACTGAGGTGAAAGTGAAGTGGGCCTATATACTACTGGAGCTGATGGGTGTAACAGAGTGAAAGAGAGACAGGGTGTGGCTACCAGGTGACTAAGGAATGTTAATGCAGAAAATAGGTGAGTGAGAAAGCAGACTGTGACAGAACCCCCCCCTTAATGGACGGCTCCCGACGTCCAAGACAAACCTACGGGGAAAAAAACAAATAAATAAAAAATCAACAAAAAACCTACAGACACCGGGTGGAAGGTGGGGGTATGGGAAAGGTTAATACTCATCTGAGAATGCTCTCTCGGCCTCCCCCTCCTGGAAATCCTCGTCCTCCTCGACTGAAGACGCCTCCCCCTCCTCCTCGATGAAGCCCCCGGTCCGTAACCGACGAGTACCCCCCGGCTTAACGCCTGGCTGAGCGTGGGTCCTAGAAGGCTGCTCCGGGTAGCGCAGGTGGAAGTCCCGGATGAGTTGAGGGTTGAGGATGTGACGAGCAGGAATCCACTGCCTCTCCTCAGGACCATAGCCCTCCCAGTCCACCAAATACTGAACCCCTCTTCCTCTGCGTCGGGAACGAAGTATACGACGAAGGGTATAGGTCGGACCCCCATCGATCATCCTAGGGGGTGGTGGTGGGGGAGCGGCGGGAATCATAGGACTCTCCCGGACAGGTTTAATCCTAGACACGTGGAAGGTGGGATGGATCTTCATGTTCCGGGGCAAACTCAGTCGAACTGCTGCAGGGTTAATGACCTTGACGATCTCAAAGGGTCCAATAAATCTGGGCGCTAACCTTTTAGACTCCACCCGAAGGGGAATGTTTTGAGTGGAAAGCCACACCCTCTGGCCTAGCTGGTACACAGGTGCCTTGGTGCGTCGGCGGTTCGCTGATGTGGCGTACCGGTTAGCAGACTGAAGCAGAGTAGTTCGAGCCCGCCTCCAAGTCCTCCGACAACGTCTGATGAAGGCCTGGACAGACGGACAGGTAACCTCTTTCTCCAATGCAGAGAACAAAGGGGGTTGAAACCCGTATGCACACTGAAAAGGGGAAAGACCAGTAGCGGAACTGATGAGTGTGTTGTGGGCATACTCCACCCACAGGAGTTGTTTAGACCAGGTCGTAGGATGATCGGAAGCCATGCAGCGGAGAGTGGTCTCCATCTCCTGATTCTTCCTTTCAGTCTGACCATTGGCCTGTGGATGGAAACCGGAGGTGAGACTGACCGTCGCCCCGATCAGTTCACAAAACTCCCTCCAAAACACAGAGGTGAACTGGGGCCCCCGGTCGGAAACCACATCAGTCGCCAGTCCGTGAAGGCGAAAAACGTGGAGAAGCATAAGTTCAGCCGTCTCCTTAGCTGACGGGATCTTAGGCAGGGGTACGAAGTGAGCCATTTTACTGAACCGATCCACCACCGTCAAGATGGCAGTATGTCCGTGGGACGGTGGAAGACCAGTCACAAAGTCCAACGAAATATGTGACCATGGGCGACGTGGAACCGGTAATGGATGAAGGAGGCCAGCTGGCGCTTGGTGAGAGGGTTTGTGCCGATTGCACACAGGACAGGCGTTCACAAACTCCCGGGTGTCAGCCTCCAGCGTAGCCCACCAGAACCGCTGCAAGACCATCCCTCTGGTACGTTGAATCCCAGGGTGGCAGGAAAGTCTGGAGCTGTGAGCCCACTGAAGCACCTCAGCCCTCAAAACCTGAGGCACAAACAAACGGTTAAGAGGACAAGAACTAGGACCGGGTTGGTCCACCAACGCAGTCTTAACCCTCTCCTCAATCTCCCAAGCGAGAACACCGATCACTCGAGGAGCAGGAAGAATAGTGTCCGGGATACCGCAGGTGTCTCCCTCCCTCCCGAACTGCCGGGACAAAGCGTCGGCCTTCACGTTGCGGGAGCCCGGGCGGTAGGAGAGGAAAAAATTAAACCGGGTGAAAAATAACGACCACCTGGCTTGCCGGGAATTCAGTCTTTGTGCCGACCTGATGTATTCCAGGTTCTTATGGTCGGTCCAAACCTGAAATGGCAGTTCTGTCCCCTCAAGCCAGTGTCGCCACTCCTCCAACGCCAACTTGACTGCTAGAAGCTCCCGGTTCCCCACGTCGTAGTTTCTCTCCGCCGGACTCAATCTCCTCGAAAAGAAAGCACAGGGGTGGAGCTTCTGATTCTCACCAGAGCGTTGTGACAGGATGGCCCCCACCCCTACGTCAGAAGCATCCACCTCCACCACCAACTGACCAGCAGGGTCTGGTACCTGTAGGATAGGAGCCGACGTAAACCGGCGCTTGAGGTCCTGAAAAGCCTCCTCTGCTGCATGGGACCATCTAAACGTTACCTTAGACGAGGTCAGGGCGGTGAGCGGGGCGGCCACGGTACTGTAGCCACGGATGAACCGTCTGTAAAAGTTAGCGAATCCTAGGAAACGCTGCAGCTCCTTCCGGGAATCAGGAACCCGCCACGAGGTAACCGCTGAAACTTTGGAGGGATCCATCTCCACACTTCCTTGACCCACGATGTAGCCAAGAAAGGCGACCGAAGAAGTGTGAAACTCGCACTTCTCCGTCTTGACAAACAGCGAGTTCTCCAGAAGTCTCTGGAGGACTGTCTGGACGTGATGGATGTGTTCCTTGAGGGTCTTTGAAAAAATCAAAATGTCGTCCAAATAAACAAAAACATAACGATCCAACATGTCCCGGAGTACGTCGTTCACCAACGCTTGGAAAACTGCAGGGGCGTTGGTAAGTCCAAATGGCATCACCAGGTACTCGTAGTGTCCTGAAGAGGTGTTGAAGGCGGTCTTCCATTCATCCCCCTCACGGATTCGTACCAGGTGATATGCGTTTCGTAAATCCAGCTTGGTAAAGATTGTTGCTCCCTGTAGTAACTCGAATGCTGACGAGATGAGTGGCAGGGGATAACGATTCTTTACCGTGACGTCATTCAGACCCCGATAGTCAATGCAGGGTCTCAGGGTCTTATCCTTCTTCGCCACAAAAAAAAAACCCTGCTCCTGCGGGTGACGTGGAAGGACGAATAATTCCCGCAGCCAGAGAGTCATTGACGTACGTCTCCATGGACTTCCTCTCCGGTGCCGAAAGTGAGTACAACCGCCCCTTGGGTGGGACTGCGCCCGGATGTAGCTCAATAGCACAGTCATAGGGCCGATGAGGTGGGAGAGATGTTGCCTTAGTCTTGCTAAAAACCTCCTTAAAGTCCAAATACTCCGCCGGAACCCCTGTGACATCCGGAACCAGGTTAATATCCACAGATAGTTGAGGTGCAGCGGCCTGCTTGAGGCAAACCTGATGACAGGAAGAACTCCACCCTAGGATGGACCCAGTTGACCAGTCAATGTTCGGGTTGTGGCGGAGGAGCCATGGATAACCCAAAATCAGAGGAATCTTGGGGGACCGTAGCACATGAAACTGGATTGTCTCATGGTGGTTCCCCGACATGAGCATATGGACCGGTGTCGTCTGGTGAGTCACCGTTCCCAGCAGGTGACCGTCCAAAGCATTAGCCGGTACCGGCTGGGGCAACTGAATCTGTTGAATGCCCAGCTGTAGTGCGAGCTCCTCATCAATGATGCTGATATCTGATCCGGAGTCGATAAACACAGCCAGAGCCTGAGATGTGCCTCTCAGGAGAAGTCGAGCATGGCACAAAGGTCTTCCATTGGGGATCAGCTCAGAGGTTCGGCCCACCAGTATACTCCCCATTACTGATGGGCTCTGCCTTTTCCCGGACAACGGGAAACAAAATGTCCAGCCTGACCACAGTAAAGGCATAAATTCCCTCTTCGACGTAACTCCCTCTCCTCAGAGCTAAGACTGGTACGACCCACTTGCATGGGCTCGACCTCCCCGTACCGTGAGTCAGAGTAGGGATGGGAATTCTCCGCCGAAACCGGAAGTTGAAAATCTCCCGGAAACCGGAAGTTGTTGTCGCGAGCGGCGGCCCGCCGCTCGTGTCTGTTGCTCTTCTCTTCGTGTCTGAATTCGTCTGTCGATCCGAGAGGTGAGCTCGATCAACCCATCCAAGGAAGCAGGGAGATCATAGGAAACCAGCTCATCTCTCATATAATCCGCTAAGCCTCTCAGATATGCGTCACATTGCGCCGGCTCGTTCCAGCTACTACGGCGGCTGCTGGTGCGGAAGTCAATAGCGTAATTCACCACCGTGCCGGAACCCTGGCTCAAGCTCAGCAGACCTCCGGCAGCATCGGGACCCAGACGAACGGAACCGAACACCTTCCGCATCTCCGCGGAAAAAGCAGCAAAAGAGGCGCAGGCTGGAGTCTGCTGCTCCCACTCTGCAGTACCCCATAAGCGGGCTTTCCCCGTCAAATGATTAACGGTGAAAGCTACGCGAGCCGCCTCGGAGGCAAAGGTGTGTGGCTGCAGTGAAAACAATATGGAACAGTTTGTGAGAAAAGGACTGCATCCCTCAGGCTCACCAGCGTAGCGTTCCGGAGTTCCCACACGAGGCTCCGGAGCGTATCCAGTCGATCCAGAGGCTGGAGTGAACATCGGAGCTGCAGGCGGAGGGACGGTAGCAGCCATGCTAGCGGCTAGCTGTTGTACGGTGGCGGCCATCTGTTGCATCTGGGAGGCCAGGTAAGCCAGCGCTTGTTCCTGGGTTGAGGTTGCCTGGTGGGTCTCGGTAGCTAAGGTAGCTATCGTGACCTCCTGTCTTTGGATGGCTTCCTCAACCCTCTCAAAGCGGTCTCTAGGAGACCCGGTGTTTGCTTGGTCCATTTCTGGCCAGATCGTTCTGTCACAAACGAGCTGAGGACCAAAATGCAAAACACGGGGAAACCAGGGATAGTCTGTAACCAGCTTTATTGAAGGCAATAACTGGTAGGAGACGAAAAGGCAGGTAGTAGGCAAAGGGCTGGTCGGGGACAGGCGAGGGTTCCAGGAGAAGGCAAGACGGGAGTCGCAGGTACAGACCGGGTCAGGGAGCAGGCGTGGCAGAATAGTCCGGGTACAGGCAGGGTCAGGAATCAGGCGAGGCAGGCAGGTCAGGGACAGGCAGGGTCGGAACCGGGAGAGCAATCTGGGAAGTAATGCTGGAAAGACTGGCATGCTGCAAAGTACGATCTGGCACTGAGGTGAGAGTGAAGTGGGCCTATATACTACTGGAGCTGATGGGTGTAACAGAGTGAAAGAGAGACAGGGTGTGGCTACCAGGTGACTAAGGAATGTTAATGCAGAAAATAGGTGAGTGAGAAAGCAGACTGTGACATACTTTGTGTTGGACGGCCTTTTTTTATAATGTCCATCTTTTCACTGAATGATCATCTTGAAAAGGGTACTAACAACAATTCCGCAACAAAATCATCTTCACCTGTTGCCATTTCGACGTAAAAAAACAATCAAACTTACGCTGGATCCTCTGTCTCGAGCCAGTGAACTAACGGGCCTTCTAGAGTACCCTGGAAGCCTAGGAAACTCTGAAAGAATACGCCCATTGGCTACAAATCAATATATGATTGGTTGATCAAACTGTCAATCCAAACGTACGCTCTCATTCAGTGTAAGGGCCAGGGCATTCTATCAAGGATATAGAATACGTTGGTTGAAGGATATTCTACCCAGAGACCCAGAACAAGATCTGATTGGTTGCATTTTTTTTTCGAACACAAAACCACTCGTATGCGTAGTGCATGGACCAAGAAAGACAAACCTATCAACGTAACACTGTAATATTACAGATCAACAACACAGATACGACTCTCATTTATTCATTTTATTTACATTTTGTACAATTTTATTTATATAATTAATTTTTTTTTTTTGTTTTATCTGAGTGTACCAGTGTATTCTCTGAATACCTTGAAGGCCCTGATGGTTCACCACTGAATCTAGTGTTCTCTATAATGTCAAAAAATGTCAGTTGGAGGTTTTAAATAAGCCCAGTGGGTTTCTGCCTCTTCTGTATTACATTTTTTTTCTGTTATGTGTATTTTTTTTTTATTGTGTGAAAAAAATTGAAATAAGATGCTATGAGGTGTAAAAACTGTACGTACACCGCCTTCCTTGAGAATGGAGGTGGGCTCTTCAAACAATTCTTCTTTGATGCAAGCGCTGCATTTCTGAGGTCCAGAACTTAAAAGAGAGAAAAGCAAACATGACATCAGTGAAGATACATTGCAAATACTTATGACTTACCATGTGTCACACAGTATAGATGCTCATGATGACCATCACCACTATAAGTTTTCACTACTTTGGCTATGATGAGATTATAAGAGACCCTTCACTGGAGATCATTTTGTCGCACGTATAGAGCTTAAACCATTAGTTGATAAAGGGATAAGTCCAAACAGAAAAAGGAAATCAAAAACTATTTTTGATTAAGTATTTCTTCTAATTGAAACATTTTTAGTGGTTTTTGTATAATGTTTGTAAACAAAGTTCAAGCATACATTAAGCACAAAACAATAAATAAGGGCACTTTGATATTTATTTGATCCTATCTTATCTTCTACTTTACACCTGCATTTTGTACACTGTCCCTGTCTGCACCATGTCCAATGTTGTCTCTGTTGACAACCTACTAGGCGATTAAACTGATCTTGTATCTTGCTTATTTCTCCTTAGGAAAGCGGGCACGGGATGACAGCTTCCTTGACACCATCATGGCGATGGACCGCCGTGCCATGGTCAGCAAGGAGAATGAGGACCTGCGTGCCAAGGAGATGCACGACGAACGGCTGCTGCATTCACACAAGGCCCAGGAATCGGACGACCAGCTGCTCATGGTGCCAGGTGGAGCAACAAAATACCTTTCAGGCTGGGCTTCTGGCAGTGCTAAGCGAGCTGATGAAATCCAACAGGCCTTCAATAAAAAAAAAAAAAAATACTTTGACTTGTTGGGAGGCGTGTGGTGCAGTGGTCTGGTGCGTTGGTGTTCGGATCAGGGGAGCACAGGTTCAAACCCCACTGCAGTCAGCATGTCGTTGTGTCCCTGGGCAAGACACTTCACCCCAAATTGCCTACACCTGGGATAGTTAATTTTGTATTATTGTGATTATATATATATATGCCACTGTTATTAATACTGACACTTCACTTTGCACTAAGGTGTGTCTGCTGAGCCTACCTATTGTTATTATATATATATATGTTTTGATACTACTGACACTTTATTTGATATTGAAAATGTTAACTTCTATTTACATGCATACGACACACCTGGGACAGCGTGATGCTGTTATTGATATTGTCTTGAGTGTGCAATAAAAGAGAACCTACATGGCGATTAAACAGAGCCTGTATCTTACATTTCATGTAACTAAGCTTGCTTATTTCTCCTCTGACACTTTATCTTTACAGTGACCTGTGTAGCATCCTATACATCACATGTAAGTGATTATTCTGATACGATCATGTTTCATCGGTTATAAACTGGCGAAGCTTTATTTATTGTGGCTTTCAAAAAGATAATTTCATTGTATTTCAAAATGGCGTCCAACACAAGCACTATTTATTTATAGAAAGATAAATGGTTACGTTTGTTATTACCAGTGTTGTGAGTTCAATATTTTTAATTCATTATAGTAAGGGAACATCTTAGGAGTTAGTGTAGTGAGTTTCAGAGCAGTGTAATAATTATTTGACCTAAAACTAAATGTTTTTATGAACATGACATGGGGATTTGCTAACTTTTGATTTCCCCCATTTTACACGACACAAATGGAGGCCACTATGGGCCAAAACTAACACGTAGGTTTCTGTAGGGTTCATGGCAGACGGATGCAGTTGCTCTCAGGAGGATATATAATAAAGGTGTGTTAGCTGCTGAGCCTATTTAGTGTGCATACGACACACCTGGCACAGTTTATTCATTTCACACGTAGCGTAGCGCGTTCATGTCGTCGTCCAATCCTTTTGTCAATCCTTCTTAACCGCCTTCGCTTCCGAATCAGCATTGCTATTGCATTTGACTGGTCGACGATCTGTATTTGTGTTTGCTTAAATAACTCAGACGAAGCTCATGTCTGATGTCGGAAGGTAAACAGACGCCTCATTTACAGCAAGTGGGCGCGGGAGGTTTTTCTTCTTCTTTTTCTCTAGTTTTTTTGGCGGATTGCAACTTTTAGGTGCATACCGCCACCTACTGTACTCGCCGTGAAGTTGTTTGCGGCCTGCCAGTAAACCCAAAGCAGAAGAAGAAGAAGTGACGTCAGCGGTTCATTTGCCTAATCCACCCCCAGGAACTCATTTTGGTGTGAACGCGATCTGCTTTAGTTCATCAGAACTAAAAGAGCTCTCATGAACTAAAGTTCTCATGAACTATTGTGGGAAAAGTACTTGGTGTGAACGCGCCTATTAGCCGCGTTCACACCAAGTACTTTCCTGTACTTAGTTCCGGCACTAAGAGCCCCGGCGCTTTTAACCCCAGGGCACTTAGTACAGATCGCGTTCACACCGGAGTACTTTTCCCTGAGGGAAGATTACGCAAATGAGCCGCTGACGTCACTTCTTCTTCTTCTGCGTTGGCTTTACTGGCAGGCCACAAACCACTTCACGGCGAGTACAGTAGGTGGCGGTAAGCACCTTAAAGTTGTTTGCAATCCGCTACAAAACAAGAGAAGAAGAAGAAGAAAAACTTCCCGCGTATACTGTCTGTTGTTTACCTTCCGACCTCAGACATGATGGAGATGGAGTCGACTGAAGTTGTGCTGTTTGTGCTCATGTTATACAGCTTTGTAACTTCGTTAATGCGGCCAGAGCCTGAGCCTATTAGGCGTCCGACAAAAATCCGGAGCCGCCACACGTCGAATGCTATAATCGCAAAGTTTCTTCAGCATCAAAGGCAGTTCAAAAGCTGTAGGAAAAGGATTGGCCGACGGAAAGCACACATGATTGCCATGTTTCACCGTAGGATGGCTGATACAGGATCTGTTTAATCGCCATGTCTTTATTGCACTCTCAAGACATAACATTAAATAGAAATATTTTAAATGTAACTAAAGTGTCAGTGGTACATGTCAGTAAACATTGTCAATATAAAATAAAGTGTCAGTTGTACTATATAATAACAGTAATAACAATATAAAAAAACTGTCTCAGATGTAGGGAGTCTCAGCAGCAAACCCACCTTAATGATATATATATATCTTCCTGAGACCCACTGCATCCGTCTGCCATAAACACTATGCAAACATACATGTTAGTTTTGGCCCATAGTGGACTCCATGTTGTGTTGTGTGAAATGGGGGGGAATTAAAAGTTTAGGTCAAATAATATTTAAAATTATATAAATTATCATATTTGTGTATGTGCCGCTGCCATTCCCCCACAAGGTTGCAACATTGATGATAAATAAATGACAAATAAAGCTTTGCCAGTTTATAACCGATGAAACATGGTATCAGAATAATCACTTACATGTGATGTATAGGATGCTACACAGGTCACAAAAGATAAAGTGTCAGGAGAAATAAGCTTAATCGCCATGTCGGTTTTCTTTATTGCACTCTCAAGACATAACATTAAATAGAACAATTTTAAATGTAAATAAAGTGTCAGTTGTACATGTCAGTAAACATTATATATAAAATAAAGTCATAACAGTAATAACAATATAAAATAAACTGTCCCACTGGTGTCCCAGTGTCAGGCACAATGCAACTATCTAGGCACATAAAGATCTTTAAAAGATACTTGCAGTTCATATTTTGTAATGTTGCATTTATGCAGTGGATTTAACAGCTGACATTTTTGAGCACTCAAAAACTGGTCCATCAATCTCATGAACACATTGTGTTTTCTTTTCCACAATTTAAAAATAAGTGTTGTTTCCCTAAATGTTACTTTTCAAAGAGGTGCTCTAAGCATCCACTTTGTCTGCATGCTCATAAGTGCTAACACTACAAACCAGCCCTGTGCACTAGGCCTGTTAAGTGTGTTTATTCACATTTTACTGAGAATTTGCTGCATTTAGACATTTGATGTCTGAATATGTGTATGAGATGGGCCATTTCAGCTCCCAGTACTCCTAACAAACCCTTGATGATTTTATCCAGAGGCAATGTTAGAACAAAACACGACTGACCTAAACCTGACCCCATTTTCAACTCTGCTTCCAGGCATGTGCTTTATTTGCCTCGGTAATAATGATGAATAATACTTAATAGACACATTAAGTGTAAGTGTAATATTCTTTATTGTATTTACAAAAACTATACCAAATAAACTGTTATTAAATGCAGTTTGTCGCTCATCCTGCCGCTGCGCCGACGCTTCCTCATGGCGCAGCGCCCACACTTCATCCTGGTGCTGCTGGCGCTCCATCTGCTGCTTGAACACTTCTGCCTGGCGCTCCATCGAGGTGAGCATCTTGTCCTCCGTTTCCTGGGCCTTGGTGAACAGCACCATCTGATCTCCACGCAGCGACTCATTCACCACGGCACGCCGGTCCTCCAACGCCTGGGCGGTGTCAAAGAAATTCGCATCCTGTGTCCGCTTTCCTAAGAGGGGAAAATAAGCAAGATACAAGATCTGTTTAGTCGCCATGTAGTTTTACAACATACTAGGAATGTATTTTCACAAATAGAATTAAGGTTTCACAAATCTGAAACTGTGTTCGAAAGAATCTTTTGACTCTCTGGGATAATCCAGTCCAGATTTGATGAGTCTAGGTATAGTGGTTTTAGATCAGGACCTGGTCTAAAGTGGTCTACATGTAAAAAAAGCACTGAAATCTCCCTTTTTTGTATTTTCACAAATAGAATTAAGGTTTCACAAATCTGAAACTGTGTTATAAAGAATGTTTGGCCTCTCTGGGATAATCCAGTCCAAATAAATCGGCTATGCAGCGATTTAAGAGGTTCAAACACGGAGGATTGTTCCTTTTTGAAGAGTGCTTCATGTATGCTTGAACTTTGTTTAATGTTGTTGAGGCAAGTTTTTCTTACCGGAAGTCATGTGACCTCTAGCTCTAGTTTTCACGCTGTTTCATAATTGTACCAAGAAGGAAATAAACATGATTGTGAACATCAGTTCGATGCGTAACGTTCTTTCAAGACAAAGTTACAGTGTGTGTACCTTTGCGAAGCAAATTACAGAAACACTGCACAGTTATTCACAAGTCAAAACGTTTTCATAGCGGCCGAGAATATCTAGCTGCTCGGGGCCGGTGTTAGCCTATTCAGCCTAGCATGGCTAGCTTGATCTACTGAGCAAATAAAAGTACATCTGAGACCATTATTGTGCAGATTAAAACCCCAGTGCATGTAGCTGATTTTACCTTCGTCGTGGTAGTCATCGTTGGCCACTGAATCCGCCGTTTGTAGTCCTGCCTGAGTTTCTTTATTTTTTGCCGGTGTGTGCCGTGGGGCTGTGCACATTCCCAGGTCGAGTGAAAGCTACGGAACTGGCTTCAGTAGCATTCCCTGGGTCGCGTCCTCGGCGTAGATCTCCAGAAGCGCCGACACCTCCTCATCATTTCTTGATGCTTGCCATAACTGCTTTCAAAAATAAACCCAACGCTCCGTTTTGTAGCGAGGAAAAACAATGGCGTCTCCACACAACATTTTCACAGTTGTACGGGCGTGGTTTGCAATTCGCCCAGCCAATCAGCACTGGGGCACTTTTGGGGCACTTTTCACCGACAGAAAAGTACGCTCTCCCAGCGGGCTCTAAAAATGGGGGTAAAAGTACCCGAGATTAAGTACGATTTTTGGTGTGAACGCGACATAAGGGGTACTCACGGAACTAAAACGCGAAAAGTACGGTGAAAGTACTCCGGTGTGAACGCGGCTATAGAGAAAAACATTGGCAATAAATCAATAATCATAAACTAAAGCCCTTCACACATACTATTCTTTCTTTGTCATTGTATTGAAGATATTGCAGAAGAAGCTAGAGGCTAGCTTTACTACCTAAACGTTATCTGAAAAATCGTACACAGGTAGAGGAAGCAGCTGGCACTAATTACAACCTGGTGCCAAGTTTTCTGTGGTTCATTTAGTTGTGGAAATATTACCAAATAATAAGAATATGGATTATGTATACCTAATATTGAACTTACATCATAAATGTCTACATTTAAACATAGGGATTCTTACAAGATCAAAAAGCAGGATATGCACGTATTATTATATTTAATACATACACTGAAAAATCTGAAACGTTTACTTTAAAGGGGACCTATCATGCAAAATGCACTTTTGTACGTCTTTTATACATGAATATGTGTCCCCGGTGTTCCAGGGAACTCACCAAGTGTCAGATAACACAACCCTCTCTATTTTCCTCCATACCCAAATCTCTAAAAAAGGGGCTGCAACAGATCTGATACAGACTGATCCAGATTTGAACACTTCTATTACGTCACAGAAGTGGCGCTACGGCTATTGGGCCAACTCTCCACCTATCAGGGGAATGTGGGGTTGGGCCACGGCCGGCCATTGCCGCTCGAAAGCGCTGGAGACGCTGTAGTACATATGCCAGGCCTGTAAGTGGCGCTGTAGTCTGCCACAAAAGCAGCGAAGAAGACTTCCCGCCCATAGTTACCATGGTTACCCTTCTGTTTATTCTCCGCTGTGGCTTTTTTTCTCCCTCCCCGAGGCAAGCGTTTGCTCCCGCTGCTTTAATTCAATGCAATCCCTCCCCGTCGAGGCAAGCACTGTAATTCTCTCCGGTTAGTCCACCAGCAGATGACAAACACCCACCTCTCCGCCTCTTCCAAGGAACGAGGGGACCGTGCTGCAGAGTTTCAGTTTCAGTTTCTTTCGCCGGTCAAGATGTCCGTTAAAGTTTAAATCTTCCGGACAAAATTAGAAAAGTGCCGGTCAAAGGTCTTCTTTATTTATTGAGCTTTAAAACAAATGAATAACGACTCTATATAATAAAACACGGAGGACGGAGATCTTTTTTTCTCCCCCTCTTGACTTCATCAGAGCACAGCTCCCCTGTCCTGCAGGGGGGCGTGGTCAGCTGCAGCTCACAGAGATCAGCCCCGTAGACAGCAAACAGCACATAGAGCGAAATGAGGCATGGCTAAAATGCATGATCTGTTTGGTATTTTGAAAACAGAAACGTATAAATATACCTTATATAGGTATGGCCCTACAATATATCATTTAAATATAGCATGATAGGTCCACTTTAATTAAATGTATTATGTCAACAGATTTCACACAACTGTATTAGGTTAGTTAAAAGCAATACTATTACATTTAAATAAAAATATTAGGATCAACTTAATATTATTGTTTTCAACCACATTAATGTGAAATGTGTTGACATTATACATTTAAGGAAAGTCAATGTTTCAGTTTTTTCTGTGTAGGCACAACATTATGAAAGCAAAACATAAGCATTAGATAATGTGTATTCGACACAGGTTTGGATTATTATTTTAATTTTTTTGCTATATGTTTATAGACAATTTCATTGGTTATGAAAAAAAAAATTAAAACTCGAGAAAATAGCAAAAGGTGCTCAAGCGCCCTTTGAGGTCTATCTGTGCACGTGCCTGGAGGTTGAACTCTGAGACATTTCCACTGCTCGCTCCGGGCAGAGGTTATCGTGGCCAGACTACGAGGGCAGCGGTCGTCCCGTCACATAATACGGTCACACAGGCTGAGATATACAGGGGTGGAGGGTGACAGGTGGATTGCCTGTACGCTGAATTTTGCGGTGGGTCTTTACAAGGTATTTATTTATCGTTATTTGTCTTTGTAGTCGTATAAAGTGTTACATATATAACTATACGCTTTTGTATTTAGCAGGGTTGGTGCCAGCTCTGGTGCTTAAACCCATAGCTAGATCCCCAGTCCTGACACTACTCACCTCACGATTTTGTTGAAGCAGAACGAACAAAAGCGGTGACCACATTGAGCTTGCAGGGGCCTCCTCAGGATTTTCTGGCACGAATTGCACAAATGCTCGTCGTCCAGGTTGTTAGCTAGGATTTTCTTTGGAAAGCCCGGTTTGTTGCCTTCCAGGGTGGATGGTGGAGACGGCTCCTGTGCAGCCATTATCCCCCTTAACAATGTCGAGATACTCAGCGGGGTGTGTTCAAGACAGCAAACACAGCTGAACGTAATTTGATCAATAATCGCCAACAACGACCCATTGCTCTTTGAACATGTTCATGGGCTTCGTGTGTTTGTGACAGATGCTGAGGATGCTGTGTTCAGTTATAAGTTACATCGTCGACCGCTAGGCGCCACAAGCCCGACAGAAGAGCATCATCCAGGCGAGTCAGGAAGCAGGCTGGATCATTGGTCCAGCAGGGCAGAGAGGAGCTGCGGCAAGGCGGACACATTTAGCCGGGGAAACCAGCGAAAATGTTGTCATTTCGTCTTCAAAATAAAATCTAAGTATCTGTATTTGTGTTTTTTTATTAAATTATGGGCATGATCATTATGTATAAAATGGGATTTTTAAGGTCTAAATATGTCTGAAACTCATGGCTATACATTCAGAGATGAATAGATTTAAAGGCTTTACTGTCAAATGTAGTGCAATAAACTAATTCAACTGACACACAATGGAGCATGTAAAAAGGAGGAATAAATCAATTATGTAGATCATCTACATAATTGACTTATTATCCACAGTAGATGTAAAATAGAGATAGATAAAAAAGAATGTAAATTATATTATGTACAGTTTAAGAAAATACTGCATAGTGTAATAATATTCAAATATGTGGACTGTAACCAGATAAAGGTTCTCTAAAGGCCCGGACACACCAGCCCGATTTTGGGAGTCAGATGCCGTCAGAGGCAGTCGGGCATTCGCGGCGCCCTACTCAGGTTTGTGTGTCCCGCACCGTCTCTTTACGGCACCTTTTCACACCTCCCGCGGCCGATTCAACATGTTGAATCGGCCGCGGGCATACATCCATGGTGCCTACGGCTCATACTTTCTACCTACTTGCATACCTACAAAATACCACAAACTTCCAGCTTTATACTTTGGGTATTCTAGTAAAACATTTGTACATGCTTTAATGTTACACAAACTTTATTTTTCTTTGTGTCTGGATACCTGTTTCAAACGCTTTGTACTAGCTGCTCAAAAGGATTTTACTGTCAAGGCAAAGTCTTGAGTCCATGTTCACCCTCTGATGGCGTTTACTGCAAACCAAAATGAACTGAGACACATTCAGAATGTTTAGAGCTGCTTTACAATTAAAAAAGCTTTATATTTCGAAACATCACTTTTCAAAAATCACTTTATAGTCTAAAAGGCATTACCTATATTTTCAAAAAACTTCAGCTCCCTCCACAGATTATCTATGGGATTAAGATCAGGAGACTGGCTAGGCCACTCCATCACCTAAGTGTGCTTCTTCTTTAGCCACTCCTGTGTTGCCTTGGCCGTATGTTCAGGGTCATTGTCCTGCTGGAAGACCCATCCATGACACATTTCCAGTGTCCTGGCTGAGGGAAGGAGGCTATTGGCCAAGATTTCACGGTACATGGCCCCGTGCATCCTCTCCTCGATGCAGGGAAATCGTCCTGTCCCCTTAGCAGAGAAACACCCCCAGAGCATAATGTTTCCACCTCCATGCTTGACGGTGGGGATGGTGTTCTGGGGTTATAGTCAGCATCTCTCTTCCTCCAAACACGGCGTGTCGAGTTGATGCCAAAGATCTTGATTTTGGTCTCATCTGCCCACGTCATCTTCTCCCAAGCCTCCTCTGAATCATTCAGATGTTCATTGGCAAACTTCAGACATGCCTTTCATGAGCCTTCTTGAGCGGGAGGGGGGACCTGCGGGCGCTGCAGGATTTGATCCATTGTGGTGTAGTGTGTTACCAATAGTTTTCTTGGTGACTGTGGTCCCAGCTGCCTTGGAATCATTAGCAAGTTCCTCCTGTGTAGTTCTTGGCTGATACCTCACCTTTCTCATGATCATCAATACCCCAAGGGGCGAGATCTTGTGTGGAGCCCCAGACCGAGGGCCATTGATTGTTGATTGATGCCCATTGTTTTTATAATTTAGTCTTAATCAAAAGTCAGCAAAAAGCTAAACATTGTATTATCTCCCACCAGCCAAGCAAATACATTCAATAGTAAAAACTCTAAACATATTAATTTCATAACCATACAAGGAAAAGCATAACATTCTCTGTCTTCTATCAAAATGATCGTAACTAATAGATTATTCAACTCATTGTTGCAGCTGAATTCTGTCGCATGAGGTCATTTAGGAAAGAAATACACTTTTCTCTGATAAAAATCAGACACAGCAATTCAGCTTTAGAGCTCATCCCTCTTCTTCTTCTCCTCATAGTGTTTGACATACTTGTCTTACAGTTCCTCCTTGTCATCTGTCATGCAAAAAGGTCAGACGCAACAATTGTATGCATTGGCAAATAATAAGCATGTAGCTGAATTACATATTTGAGACTTCAACTTTGTAATGTAGTAATGTATTTTTATATATTTGGTTGATAATGAATAAGACTAAAAGGTCAGTCTACATTAAGACAGATAACGAAAGTGATAGTTATAAATATGTTTTTTTTTAAATATTTCACCTCAAGTGGATGGAGTGGTCCATACCTCAAATAAACTGACAGAGACAGTGGTGACCGACATCGTTAGGATCACTTTCAGAGTGATGTTAAACGAGAAAACCGCTTTGCAACATCCGGCAATAAAAGGCATCAAGTCAGGGTGTCTTGAGCCACTGTTTAGAAATTACTTTATCGTTCATTAGAGGGGAGGCTCACATTGTTACGATTTTAGTTATAGAAATACTTCTTGGTGTGGACAGTCATTATGAGTCTACAGTTATACTAGCAGCTGAGTGAGGATATACTTGGGCTAACAGGCTGATAATAAGGATTATTATTACTGACATTACAATTCATCCTCTTGGGACTATGAGAGTCTGTGCCAAGTTTCACATCCAAAAGTTTGTCAAGATATTTCACTAAAGAACTAAACAATTAATCTCATGGTGGCGCTAGAGGAAAAGTCAAACGATCATTTCACTTCTTGAATGCATCCTCTTGGGACCCTGGATATCTGTTGTGAATGTTGAGGCAATTTAAATACTGTTCGAGATATCAGTCACCAATTCAAACCCAATGGTGGCACTACAGTAAAGGTTAGATGTTCACCAAAGTCAGTAGGATTCATCCTTTGGGGATCATGAATGTCTGTACCAAATTTCAATCCAGTCCACTCAATATTTGGTGAGATATTTCAGTCTTGATCAAAGTAATGGACCAAACCAACTTTTCCATCACTAGAGCCACATAACTGGCATAACTAAATATTAAAGATAATGAAATAGAAGTAAAAATTAATAGTCACTCTATTGTCCCTCTACTGCTTTTGCTTCAGTCTGAACCTCAAATTCAAACCCAATGGTGGCACTACAGTAAAAATCAGGGGTTCCCCAAAGTCAGTAGTCATTACTGGCATGGGTTAATATTAAAGATTGAAATATAGAAATTATAAGAAAAAATTATAGTTACTTTATTGTTATTTTCTGTTTTGAGAACAGCTCTAGTTAGTGTGTGAATGAGCAGACTGCTGTCACGCATGTTTGGTGCTAACAGTTATCAGATATATCATTCAAATTATGTGTTTGCATATAGTTAGGAAGGCCGGAGCAGCACAACAATAGAACAACCCTGAGGCTAAACCTGACAATACATCTGTTCTCTTTGGATGAGATAAAACACTGTCAAAATACCACATTAAATAAGTAAAAGCCCTGCATTGAAAGGATTACATAAATAAAATGTTGTTATTAGAATCATAAAAATGTACTCAAAGTATACAAATGAAAAGGGTACTCAATGCACAAAAGTGGCTTCTTGAATCTTTTTGTTTCTATATAATTTGAATCACCCTGTTAGACTTTCCATTTTATATTCCAATGTCGTCCAATCCCTGATCCCTTGGGTTCTTTTTCCTCTGAGACAAAAAACTCATCGTCATTATATTATTATCAATCAAACAGAGAGATGGATATAAATAGATATGTACATGTTTTCTCCCCTAGGATGACGCTGACCTGTTGTAGTTTTTGACCTTCCCATGTTTCTTCCATAGTTTATTATGGCATTTACTATATTTAACAGATCACAAAACCGTTGTAAGAATTATTGCACTAACGTCCAGCTTCATACTTTGGGTATTCTAGTAAAACATTTGTACATGCTTTATTTGTGTCTGGATACCTGTTTCAAACGCTTTGTTTTAGCTGCTCAAAAGGATTTTACTTTCAAGGCAAAGGCTTGAGTCCATGTTCACCCTCTGATGGTGTTTACTGCAAACCAAAATGAACTGAGACACATTCAGAATGTTTAGAGCTGCTTTACAATTAAAAAAGCTTTATATTTCAAAACCTCACTTTTCAAAAATTACTTTATAGTCTAAAAGACATTACCTATATTATCTAAAGAAAAAGCGTCTTGTCATCCAGGATCTTGCATATATTCCGGCCAAACATCTCTCACCAAAGATCTTCTAAATTTCCCCCAACAAGAGGACATACCCTCCATTACATGATGGATGTGGCTGAGGTGGAATTGTTCTCAGGAAGGTTCATGTATAAAGAGAACTGAGCAGTGTCAGAAGCAGGACTCTGTTCATTCCTATATTCCACAATGTGTTTTGACAGAAATACGACTGAACTGACTCGACTTCCAGCATCAGCCTCCATGGCGTTAGAACAGGACTTATTATTGGAACTGAAACACTGAGGTAATCTGAACAACACAGTAACTGAACTCTTCAGAAAGAAAGAAAAGAGGATGGTTTTTGGGAACAAATAATGAAACGTATTGGTGAGTAATGGCTATAATGACTTTTATTTAACATTGTTGATATTTTCTTGTCATTTTATTAAGTAAATATTGTTGCTTCTGCTAGAGATGATGTGCGGCGCAGCAGTGAAACGAAGCTTGTTGAATTGTGTTGTTTGGTGTTCTTGCTTTAGTAATGGCATTCATTCTCTTTCTAGAGCCGTGACGTCATAATAATGCTATTAGGAGGTGGATTCA